CTGTGGGCTTGCCCGAGCTGGTGGGTCCCAGGGCTTGCCCAGGCTAGTTTTGTTGCTCTAGAGGCGGATTTGGGCTCTCAGGGGGCCTGTTGCCAGGGCAGGGCCCTAGCGCTGCACATGCTCTAATATTGTGCTTTAAAAAACAAAAAGGTAAAAAATATGGTAGGCATCAAAGGCAAACAAGCTCGATGCTAAAGTCGGTATCGGTAGGAAAATGCTGAAATTTGTGATGATGCCTTTATACACTTTTAGTCATACTACTTATAAAACTGATACCTAATATACTAATATCATCGATTTTCAGGTTTAGCGATGCCTATGTTGTGTGGTATAAAGTAAAATTTAGCATAGTGAGAATTCCTAATTTATTTGTAAGGTTCCTAGTTAAAATCTACACAATAACTTTCTTTGGGCCAGCCACCAGAAGTTGATTGCAAGTCTCTTTTGGGCAATAATTCTATACCGAGGGCTATATTTAAGGCCTTAAATGAGACTCTATTTTTTAACCGTTAAATCAAATTAATTAGTTTAATCTATCGGTATGAAATTGTACCTCATCTGAAAGTCATCACTATAGAATGACTCCTCTCTCGAGTAGCTTCCTAGAAGGACCCTGTCCCTGCAAGGATATTAAAAGCCTTCAATTTTTGGAGCCCGTTACACGTCAATTTTGTCTCTCCTCTTTATTGCTTTTTGTCTGTTTGGGTCGGATCTAAACACGTCAAATTTGTCCTCCTTGGTCTTCTAGTTTCACATTACTAGTTTCCTTTCTTCACATTATTATTATTAATTTTATTTTTCTTCTTGGAGATACTGTTCCACAGACAATTAGACAAGTCGTCTCCCTCGCACAATTAATATACACGGGTTGACCATCAAATGAAGTTCCCATTGACTGGTGCTCTGCAAAACTTCCTAGGGGCTTTGTTTGAGGGAAATATCAAAGTTGGTAGGCCAACAGTTGGGTTTCCTCCCAAATTTAACCCTCTTCGCAATCTATAAAATGGGGTAGTTTTGCCACACAAACAACACCAAAGAAAAGAAGAAGAAGCTCAACAAAAACAAACAAAAAAAACCAAGAAGAGATCATGAAGGCTGCATACTCATTGCGTGTGGTTGTATGCTTGTTCTTGGTGGTGGTTGGTGTTTTGGTTGAGGTGGTTCCAATGGCAGAAGGGGACACGACGCCCAGCCAATGCAAGCAGGAGAAGGACCTTCTTGAGAGTGCATGCAAGAGTGCAGTGATCTATAATATAATAGGACGCAGCCCCTCTGCGTACTGCTGCCAACTTGTAAGGGTGACACATGTCGAGTGTGTGTGCCCTTATGTCACCCCTAAGCTAGCCAGTCTGATCCCTCTCCGTCGTACGATTAAGCAGATTGAAGGCTGTGGAAGAAGCGTCCCTCGCGACTTCAAGTGTGGCAGTGAGTTCATCTCCTCTCTCTCTCTCTCTCTCTCTCTCTCTCTCTCTCTCTATATATATATATATATATACATATATCATCTCTAGCTCTATGACCTAATTAATCTGTAACATGAATTGATTAATGTCAACAAAACAAGATCAACACTAATTAAATATATATAGAAATTGCTTTATTTGTGTAGCTGATCTGATTACTCTCGGTTAATCTTAATTTTTGCAGGTATCACCACTCCACCATAAGATAAGAAGACGAATATTCTAGCTAGCTACAAGAATAAATTATTATGCTTGATTATCAAATAAAGAATAATCTAATTTGCTTTCTTTGAAGTGCACAATCATGTGCACTTACGCATTAGAGAGTGGAGGGAAGGGGACAAAGATGTATGACTTTCCTCAAATAAAAGTGAATTATAAGATGTCTCTCCTATACATTCCGATATTATTGAACTTACGCATTAGAGAGTGGAGTGAAGGGGACAAAGATGTATGACTTTCCTCAAATAAAAGTGAATTATAAGATGTCTCTCCTATATATTCCGATATTATTGACACGATTGTCCAATCTCTACCATCTATCCATTCAAGAAAATTTATGTTCTTCTCCAATGAGAATTTTTGTTAAGCATTCGTTAAGAAGCTTTAATATCAGCCATTCATTAGGTTACGTTTTTAATATATACCGTATATGAAATTAAGTGGATGAAATTAGAAATCCTTAACTAATTATTAGTGAAGTGAAACCTATGATTGCACTTAGATAATTGGAATAAATTTCTTTAGTTTTCTCATTGTATTGGAATAACTTTCAAGGACTTTATTGCCTGGACTAAAACTTAAGACGCTAATATAAAATAACGATACTGCTTGGATATTAGAGGATCATATTATTCATATATATCGAATCGGTCAATTGACCCTACAGTCCAAGTCCTCAAGTCAAGCTTGAACCAGTCCCAGTAGTGTACGTACATGAAGGGCATATATAATAATGGAAAATATCAAAGTTGGTGAACCATATCTTCTCAATCTATAAAAGAGGGGTGGTGTGTATGTACATGATCAGTTATAATATTATTATTATTGCTAGAAATTAAAGAAATGACAAATTATTAAGAAGGAAAAATAAAGAATAAATTATGAGGGCAGTGGTTGCGTTATTATTATAGATGATCAGTTATAATAATATTATTATTGCTAGAAATTAAAGAAATGACAAATTATTAAGAAGGAAAAATAAAGAATAAATTATGAGGGCAGTGGTTGCGCGATATGGCTATTGTGGTGGTTCTTAGTGGTGGTGGTGGTGGCAGCGGCTTCAATGGCGAAAGGGGACACACGAGCCCTATAGCCAGTGCAAGGAGGAGAACAACCTTCTTGTTAATGCGTGCAAGCAGGTTTTTATGGGGCAGGAAGCCTCTGCCTACTGCTGCCGGCGGTTTAGGGTCATTTTGAGTGTGTTTGCCCCGCCGTCACTCCCTCCCCTTTTCTTCTATCAACGTGTATGAGTAAGCTTTTAAAAATAATGAGTATTATAAATAAGTACTTAGTAGGTTTATTTCGATAAATAAGTTATATAATAATAAAGTTTTATTGCAATGTGCCAATTTCATTGGAAACACAATCATTTGATAATTGAAGTATAATGTTAAGTTATCACAAAGTTTGATGTGCCAAAAAATCCTCGACTCTTCTTCTCCCCCCAACCCAAAACCTGCTTCAGATTTGAAAACCTCTTTGGTTCCTAGGGATTTTTCCTAGAACCAGTCTTTAGTAGAACTGCTCTTTTTGTGCTAGATCGCTTTCAGATCTCTCTGTTTTGGAGGTGGAGCTTCTAGATTTGGTTGGATATACAATTATTAATTGGTGCTTTTGGATCAAGTGGGGATTTGGAGATGTTGTGACATTCATTAGAATGTCCTATTGGATGCTGAGTAGTAATGCCTTCCACTTCGTGGTGTTTCCTGTCCCAAGTTGTTTGAGAGATTGTTCTATGCCTTGGTCTTCTTGAAGTACTGGTTTGCTGTAGGTTTTATGGGTCCTCCTTGTTGGCGTGACTTGTGAAACTGTTGACTTACTTTTCTTACACACCAAGAATTCCTATTATAATTGTAATTGATTTACTTTAATTCCTGATTTCCTACTGTAAATAGATTTATGAATTTATTATTTACTTGCCCATTCAGGTTTCGTTGTATTATAAATATGACCTCCTACAAGGAGAAGAATACATAGAAAATTCTTACAAACAAATATTATCTCATAGTTCTCATATTTTAGCATGGTATCAAAGCAGCGATCTTGAGTTAGTCTAATTGAACTTGGGAACTTGGGAAAATGAATTGAATCATTCAATCCTTGGAGCCGTCAAGGCTTGGGCTTCGGCAAGACTAGGAGTTGGGTCTCCGTGGGCAAGGTGATAATATTTTTTTGTGACCCTTCCATTGCTTCTGCATGGCCCTTGCCGTTCGGCAAGGGTGGATATTACAATTTGTGTATAGACAATTCCTTCAGTTAGGAGAGAAAAATTGGTAGGAGTTAGAGCTGGGTCTGTTGTATTTGTGCAAGGGTGTTTGGTTTGAGTTTTCGGGGCAAGATTTTGTCGTCTTTGCAAGTCCCCAAATTTTTCCATGGGCCTTACCGTTCGATAGGTGCCCTTGGTTGCTTTGTTTCGGCAAGGGAGGATATTGGATGGGCTGGGCAGCCGTTCCGGCTTTGGAGTTAGAACTTTAGCAAGGCTAGAGTAGGATATTTTTAAAAAAATGTTGACAAGGGTTGACTTTTGCCTTGAGGGCATGGGCAAGGGTTAGGGCTAGGCCTTAGTGGTGTTTTGTAGAGTTTAAATTTTTGTGACCCCTATATTGGTTCTGCACGGGC